GAAGGGAAGGGAAGGGAAGGGAAGGGAAGGGAAGGGAAGGGAAGGGAAGGGAAGGGAAGGGAATAAAAGGCTCACCCTGCCCCCCTGTCAAATGATCTGGGATTTGGCACGTGTCTTCCCTTTATCATTGTGGGGAGCTCTGCACGGGTCAGGGAGACAACAGGCCTTAGTGACTAGCCAGTCCATAGAGAAAGGACCTGAATCAGGCCCCAAGGAAGCCCTGAGATTAATCACACACGGCTCCTGCCACCAAGGAAAGAACCATGATTGGGGGTATGAGTTTAAGTTCCTTTTAAATAGAAGGAAAAAGGAACATCTAGCAAGGAGGGGGCAGCTGGGAAGGCTGCCTGGACGAGGTGGGCCTCAGGAAAGGGGTAGAGGACAGAAGCATTGCTCTGGGAGAGGGAACACCTACGATCCTGTCTTTTAGTGAGATGAGCTCCTCCTCTTCCTTCTTCCTGTTCTCAAAGTGTGCCTCGATCAGCATCTGCAGCTCGTTCAGGTCCTTCTCCATGCGCTTCCGGTGGATGTCCTGTGGATGGGTCACCAAGGCTCAGAGGAGAGGAAAGAGAGGCACGATGGGTGGGTTAGACACCCCCATACAACCCAAAAGTCCTCAGGCAGGGCCTGCGGGCTGGCCGGGAAAGGAAGGGACGACTTGGGCCTGAGCCCAGGACACAGCCCAGGAGCTGGCATCCAGCCTCACCGATGTAGGTACCATCTCACCTGCCCTCAACCCCTTACTAAGTCTTGTGCCCTTGTGACCTCTCCCAGTTCAAGCCTGCCCACCCCACAGCCGCCACTCACATCAAAGTCCACCCTTTCTCCATCAGGAATCTTCGGAGGTATCAAATTGGGCATAAATGGCCTGGTTAAGGAAGAAGGAGTCGGTGAGCCTAGGCACACACTGGACCAGGAGGACTGCGGATGCCTGGGGCGAGCAGGGCCCTTCTTCCTCGGCCACCGCCCCAGACAGCCGCGGGGCTACAGCAACACTGACGCAATAGCCAGAGTCCTCACCCTTGCTCAGTCCCTCAGCATACGCAAAGCTCTTTCACACCTGCCATTTCTTATTACGTGCCTAATGCACACAGGAGATCAATATCATTTTGAGAAAACAGAGAGCTCAGAGAAGCGGTGACTTGCTTGAAACCGCACGATGAGGAAGCTGTGACGAGAGAGCAGGTTTGTCTGACTCCAAACTCCTGCCAGTGCCCAGGCATCCGGTGGTTTGGGCCCAGCCCCATTCATCCTTGCCATGTGACACCAGGCCCAAGTGAGTCTGTGGGCCTCAGTTTCCCCAACTACATTCAGGTCCATGCGGGGTTAAGGCGAAGCTGCAATGAGAGACTGTAGTGTGCATACAAGTGACCTGGAAATGAGCTGGACAGAGAAAGCGGACTGGGATTGACTATGGGTTGGGCTGTGACTGTATTTTTTAAGAGCCCTTATTATACAGTAAGTGGTTAAGGGCTGAGCAAAAGGCCAGCAGTTCAAATCCACCCTACCCTGTCCAAGGGAGAAAAATAAGGCAGTCTGCTTCTGCTTCTTGACTTAAGCTTTGGGAACCTTCTGCTGAACTCACAGTTGACCCTCTGTTGTATTTTCAAGGCTATAAATCACATGGGAGAAGATTGTCCACTTTTCCCCCATAGAGCGGATGGTGGATTTGAACAACCAGAGAGATGCAGCCTTTGATTTAGGAGCACAACCCCTATGGATCATGTCATCAGAGAGTAAGTCTGATTGACTCCAGCTTCCTTTGCTGTCTGTTGTCAGTGGGCAGTGTGGAAATGAGAATGGACTGAGGCGCCACCTACTGTCAGGGTTAGCAACACTCAAAGGAAAATGCTGCCTGCTCCCTTTTCCTGTCCAACACCTCCAGCTGATCTTCCCATATGATGATGCCAAAGCCCCCTACCTGTCAAGGTGACCCTCTGAAGGGATCCCTGTGCAGATCACAGCCTGTGGATGTGCACCTGGTGATCCACACCACCAAATACCCAGCCTGTGCCCACTCTCGCCCTGTCCCATCACCTTTCCTCACAGCACATGGGGCTTCACACAAGTGTGTCACACTTACCTGGGCTTGGGCTTGGACTCCTCCACTGGGCCGTCTGGAAGGAAGAAAAGAGCACAGCCACAGAGTCAGGAGGTCCCAGCCAGAGCCTTGGACACCCCCTCTGGACGGTCACATTCTTCTACCCTGAGGCACCCAGGAGCCCAGGGACTTCAACAAGAAATAGGGCAACAGAGGCCGCAAGCCCCACACTTGGTCTCCCACTGCACAAATTTAGACGTGAATAATGCCAATCTACTTGCCCCGTGGCCACCAGAAGTTCAGGAGGTGACCCAGGAGGCAAAGACACAGGAGAAGACTCCCACTATGGTGCCTCTGGGACAGCTGAACTCTGGAAGGGGGGGAACATAAACTCAGTGTGGGGCTTCAGAGCCTTCTGGGGTTTCCTGGTCCTGATCCAGGAAGCACAGCTTAGAGCTTTGGGTTCCTAGAAAAAGTTCCTGAGGTCTTTGTCTCCTTGGTCATTTCCTGGACTTCTGGTGCCACAGGACAAGAAGTAGATGGGCATGATTCAAGCCCAGGCTGAGTCAGATCACTGTGCAGATGAAAGCAGAGCCATAGGCACCCTGCTACATGGTAAAGAAGGAGGCAATCCACACCAATCACCTACCACGTACTTAGAGGATTTTGGCCTAACAGGTACCACACACTGTACACATCATTCCATTGAGCTCTGAGAATCTCATGTATAGGTGTGACCCCCGGGGCCTACTGCCCTGCTCTGCCTAAGGAGATGGGCTCAGGTCCTCTCTCTCCCGTGGGACATCATTAGTGCCACCCCTTTGAGAGAAGGATTTGCAGATGCAGGGATCCCAACATCCAAAGAATGAAGATGCCACTGGGCTGTCTGTCCTCTCCTGGATCAGAATCCTCTCTTCTCCAGCCCCTGCCTCTCTGGGAGGGCTGTGTGGGCAGTCTATCCCAAAGCTACTACGGAGGCCTCTGTGGGTCCCTGAAAGTCTCTCCAGAAGGCCAGCATCCCTTACCTTCGTTCTCCTTAGCCTCCTCTTCTTGTCCATCTTCTAAACAAAAACAAAAATGAGAACTCTATCAAGGTCCTTGTCCTGAGTACAAGCCTTACCACCAAGAGCCTTTCTCACAAACAGATTCTAATCCAAGCAAATTCTGTTGGTTATGCGGTCAAGGAGCATGACTTATTCACCCACAGGTGACCCTGGGCTCAAGACTGCCCGACAAAAAGTAATGCTTAATAAATGTTCATTGACTGGACAACTGACTGTTGAATCCAGCCCAGAGCAGGTTTCAGAAACAGAAGAGGAAGAGTCATAAGTTGAAGACACACAGCTCTTGGGATACACAAAGTGTTTTCACTTTACATCATTTTATTTGATGACCAAATACACACAGGATGGGATATTACTTAAGACTGCGTGTTCCAGGTGGGTCTCTTACTGAGGGCTCTCATCACCTCTGTAAGCATCTCAGCTGAGTTTCTTACACCCTTATTCTGAAGCCTTACCTTCTGTCTTGGACTCTTCAGCCTCACCCTCAACCTCAGCCTCCACATCCCCTTCAGCCTCTTCTTCCACTGCCTCCTCCTGCTCTGGAAAAGTGAACCAGATCTTGTGAACAATTAGACCCCCTCACTATCAGGCAGAGCTAAAGCAGAGACGAGGTGGGGGTCAACGCTACCCATGTTCCAGATACATTGTGAGACAATTGGTATGAATAACAAGGAGCTGCTCCATTCTTGGTCTAAAATCAAAGGCCAGCAAATTACAGCTCCAGGGCTAAATCTGGCCCCCAGCTTGTTTCTGTGCATAAAGTTTTATTGGAACAAAGCCCCTTATTTACATCCTATGATTGGTTGCTTAAGTGTTATAATGGCAAAGTAATTACATTAGAGGTAATATGGACTACACAACTGAAATATTTACTGTCTATGCAGTTAAAGGAAAAATTTCGCCCACCCCTAAACCACACTGAACAGAGAGGCACAAATGGGCTTCCTTTAGTTCCTCTCTAGAGTGTAGAAGTCAGAATTGGGCCTTTCCAAGTACAGAGAGTTTTTCTGTGTCTAGGAGCCATGGGCTGGGAAAATGGGGGAGAGAGAGAATGTAGAATTTTAGTGAGTGCTAAGGGCAGCACCAGAGAAGGCCTAGGAAGACTCACTGCTCCAGTGGTCAACCTGCTAGACACAGTGTCCCCTTTCCCTCATGACCTCACTAGTAATGTGGCCCAACTCCATTTTCCAACTTTCCACCGCAGAAAGATTTGAATTTAATTTTATGTTATGTTTTCCAACAAACTGTGCCCTGCTGAAGTGAGGTATCAGGGAAGCTCCTGCCTCAGTCTAGAGATCACTCATCTGGCTCCACCAGTGGTACTGAGAGGGTGGGTGAGACGCCCAGCATTTAGATTCGTGTGATCTCTGAAGACCCACCAAGGTTGTTCTACTATTTTTAGCCATCTGCATGGCAAGATGTGGACCCCCCACCACAGTCAGACACTTCAGGCAGACAGACGGGAAAGACAGAATGAAAGCATGCTCACTGCTCTGGCTGTAGGAAGTGCTGGTCAGTGCTCACTAAATGTTTAACCCAAGTGGTCACTTGGCAAAGGGAAAAGGGAAGTCCTCCAGGTGGTGGGAGAGGCTTTAATGCCCAATGTCACGTGGGTGTCCTGGGAGAACCAGTGGTCTCCATTATCCATTCTCTTTTCTAGATCTGTCTTCTCTGAGGGCTAGATGCTGCCTCTCAGTTCCCTGTAACGCTCTTATCTCATAAAAGAATCTTCCAGAACAAGTAGAAAGATAACCAGCAAGGATATGGCCAGTTGTGAGGTCCATGTTCAGGCCATGTTGTTATCACCCCTCCCCACCTCCCTGTGTTCCCCCTCTCTGGACTCAGCAGTTAGGCAGTATCTGCTTGAAACACTCCCATGGTGGGGAGCCCACTGCCTCCCAGGGCCACCCACGACTTCTTAAGAAGCAATTGTTAGAAAGCTCTTCTAAAATGAAATCCAGATTTATCTCTTGAAACATCACCCTCTGGCCCTCGTCCTAGCCCTGGGGACCGGGAACAAGTCCAGTCTCTCCATTCTCCTCAGAGCCGTGCACACTTGAAAGCTGTCGTCATGTCCCTTCTGATCTGACAAATCATGTCCAGTCCCTCCAGCTGCTCTTCAGATGACGTTACCACTAGACTCTTTTGTTCCTCAGGCATCTGTCTGGGGTCCAGAGAGGTGTCCAGTGAGGGAAGACCAGGTTGCTTGTCCTAGACGTTGATAAAACTCCATGGCCACTTTTTTTTTAAGTTGTCAACAACTTTATTTTATTTGGATCCACAATCAGTAAGTACCCATGGTAAGCAGTAGTCAGGGAATCAAAAGACATGTTGCTTTGGGAAAATCTGCTGATGAAGAGCCCTCCAAAGTTTTAAAGAGCAAGATGTCAGTTTAAACAGTAAGATGAGCTTAATCCAAGCCATGATGTTTTCAATTGCTTCCTGCACAATCGAAAATTGGACAATGAATAAGGATGACAGAACCAAATCCAATGGCTTTGAATTGTGATGTTGGGGACAGGTATGCATTTGACCACATGGATCACATCAATTTGGGGTAACATTGAGAAGAATGGGGATACCAGATCACTTGACTGTGGTCATGTGAAACCTAGATCTAGGCCAGGAAGCTGATGTCCAAACAGAGCAAGGGAACACTACATGGTTCAAGATTCAAAAAGGAATGCATCTTGGATATATCCTTTCTGCATACCTTTTCAATCTACATGTGAGACAGATCATTTGGGAGACTGGCCTTCAATGAGGAGGAATGTGGCATCAGGATTGCAGGAAGACTTATCAACAACCTGTATTATGCAGATGACACAACCTTTCTACAGCTGCTTTTGCATCAGGTGGGGAAACAAGCCAGCTAGGGCCCTTCTCACCCTTCCATCTCACCCTCAAAGGTAGGACTAGGGCCAGGGGAGGGCAAGAGACATGTTTGAGTTTAAGTTTAATAAAAAATTCCTTACAATGATACCTGAAGATGAGTGGCCCTGGAAGATAGCAGACAGTGAGCTCCCTTCCACAAAAGTACTGCTGATGCTGCCTACATGCCCCAAATGTGAACTCCACAAATGGTCCTTGCTGGCTAGTGTTACATGATCCAAATATGGGCCCCACAACTGGCTGGTTAGTGTCCTATTCTCATTCTTCTGGAAGGTTCTATTTTGTAGTAAAATTGCTACAGACCTCAGGGAGGTCTCAGGTCTCAGAAAGAAGGCTGTATGGTTGATGGAGACTCTTGTTTTCCCCAGAACACTGACATGGCCCTGGGACATGGTGGCCTCTCCCTCCACCCATCGAAAGAACATGGGCCTGAGAAGAGGAGTAGATGGTCATGAAGGAGACACAAGGTGAAGAGCTCAGAGCTGGCTTCCTGTCTACCCTCTGAGCCTGAGAGGAAACGAGTGTCTCTCCTCCACACCTGGCCCTCAGCAGACACATTCAGGACAGTGGGAGAACGAAAACACAACAGAAGTCAAAGCTACTACCATCATCGTCCTCTGCCCAGTCTTCCTCTTCTGAGGTGCAGCGAGCTGCAGCAGCAGAGGGGGAAAGTGAGACAGGTTAGAGTGCAGAGCGGTGGGGTGACTTTAAGATGGTGGGCGATGGAGTCAGGCCTGAATGCACAACTCTCTAACAGCTTAGACAGCTCGCTTCTCTTAGTAACTTCTCAGAAGCTGTTGAGCTGCTGGGCATTCGCAGGAGATAGTGACACTCGCTTGGCAGCCATGGTGCAGATTAAATGATCTAGCATGAACAGAGCATCTAGCACAAGCCTGGAAGGTGGGAAGCATTCAACGAACGGCAGCTGGTAGCTCTGGGATATATGGTGTCTCAGCTTTTCTCTTAGTGAGACCAAAAAACCAAAGTCTAACCAATAGCATTAAATTGATTCCAGTGCATGGCAAGTCTGGAGGACAGAGTAGAACTGCCCTAGAGGTTTCCAAAGCTGTAAACCTTTATAGAAGCAGACCACCACATCTTTCTCCCGCCAAGTCGCGAGTGGGTTCGAACTACTTACCTTTTGGTAAACAGCTGTGCACCTAAACTACTTATCCACCAGGGCTCCTCTTACCTCAGACCAAATCCACAGCCTTCAAGGTGTTTCTCCTCCATAGTGGCCCTCCATCAGACATACATATAAACAGGGACAGACTCACTTCATCTTCCTCCCTTAGGGCAGCTGGTGGATTTGAACTCCTGACTCCCTGAGTAGTGGTCTAACATGCGAACTATACCACCAGGGCTCCCTTCTTACTCGTATCTCAACCACATTGCTGTGGTGTCAGAACCAACTCCTAAATGTAATGGGTTTTCAGAAGCTGTAAATCACATGGCAGGAGCCTGTCCAGCTTTCTTCCACGGAGCAGCTGGTGGATTCGAACCACTTGCCTTTGGGTTGGTAGTGCAACTATACAGCGACTCCAAAAGACACAGTTGACAGCAATTGGTACTGATCAAACATCAGCCATGCCACTGCCCTAATTTAGGCCTTCCAGTTTAGAGCAATCATACTTCTGATAGGACTGCTTAAGAACCTGGCACCTTCAGAGTTGGCCTGACCTGTTGGACAGAAACTATCTAAGGAAGACCCAGCATGTTAGCACTGTAGACAGGCTGGATTGTTCTAGACACAGTCATCCACCCAGAGAAAGAGGTCACAATTGTGTGCTGTACTTTTAGCCTTGGAGAAGAGACACTGTTGGAGTCACCCATTCTGTAACCCATCTATCTCATCTATGGACATTCATCTATTAGAACTCGCTTTCCTGGTGAGTTATAGCCAGATGCTTAACTGTGTGAAAGCGGGGCGTAATCGTTAATGACAAGCATGGCAGGTGCTACGTGGAGCTCAGGCCACCACCACACTGGAGGATCATGTTGTTAATTCACAGCCAAGTCCTACTCGGGGTAGCAGGAGGTCCAGATCCAGAGGTCTACATGTCAAAACCCACCCCCTAAACCTTATTGTAATCAACTGGCAAATGCTTCAAAACAAGGAAGACCTCCCTACCTCCTGCCTCATATCAAGAATTTGGGCAGTAAAGACAGAAAATGGAGCCAGCTTGATTTCCCGCCCCCCCTTCAAAAAGTGTTTCAAAGAGCTGTTTGAACCAAGAGTGATTCCCAGGGCCCCTCTCTGATTTTTGCTATGAGTTTCTCCCACAGTGGCTCTTTGGCCAGATGCCCCTAAAACAGTCTAAAATGGGGGAGAGGCTCCCTATCTTCTGGAGAAGGACTAGAGAGAGAGCAAGTGTAGTGCCTTGATCCTGGGCCTCGTGAAAACCTGCTTCCCAAGAGTCACAGGACATGCTGAGTCCCGAAGGAACAGGGGCCAGCTGACTTGGAGAGCAGAAGCCGGAGACACCCAAAGGCCATTCTGAGCCTTTGTGGGTTGGACAGGGACTGGAGAGAAACGTCTTTAAGACGGTCCCATCTTAAAGTTCCAAGCACTCAGGAAAAAGAAACCAAACCCCAACAAACTGAGTTGAAGGCATTTTGGTGTCATCTTTTATAAGTGCATGCTGAAATATTTAAAAATGAATAGTTGTTGATTGGAGATTATTGTGAAAGTCTGCTACAGAATATTGGCAGGGGGAAGAAGATGGTGGAGTCTATTTAAATGAGAGACAAGCGGCCATCCGGGGGCCATGGTTACTGAAGCTGTGTGATGGGACCACTTGGGCTCATTATCCTATTACTGCTACTTTTATATGTGTTTAAAATGTCCCATGACTAAAAAGCAAATTGAGGAGCTAGCAAAAATAATTCCTTGGGAAAGGTGGGTGATTCTGTTTGAACTCTAGGAAATAGAAGTACAGTTTTAAGCTTTTGGCCTAAAGTCCTGCAGTCAAGGCTAGGGAGGGCTGACCCCAGTTTAGGACTCCCTGTTCCAAGGGAATCTGCTGCAGTGAGGACCAGAGACAGGGATAGACAAGCCAGGGCTGCAGGCTCTAACACCCCACTCCCCAAGCTGCCGCAGCCTACCCCCGCCCCCCAGGCCCCCCCTCCCTGCCTCTGCAGGCTCCCTGTCTCCAGAAATACCAGATTCTGGCCTTCCACCTTTCCGACCTCGCTCCCCTGGGGGCATACCTTCCACAGCTTCTTCTGCTCAGCAGATGTCCCCGTAACAGGAGAAGAGAGAAGAGGAGATGGGTCAGTTTCCAATCACATCATCCTCAATCCAAATGAGTGGATACAAGCGCTCTTACCTTCCTGCTCCCTGCAGTGGAAAAGGAGACACTATGGATGGTACAACTCACACACATACATGTATACATACACCTATCACACATATATACACCACTCACATACATGCACACATCACACATCTCACACACACCGTACACATACATAGCACAAACGTAGATGTACCACATGCATCATATGTATACATACATCACATGTATCACATACATGCATGTATGTGTCACACACACATATATACAATACATAGATACACCAAACACATAACACATGTCACATACACATGCTAATATTACATATACACATGCATATACCACACATGTAGTCATACTTCACACACATATGTATACATCACATGCATACGCATATCCCACATATACTCCCATATCACGCATGTACATGCTTAAATATGTATGCCCATCATATGTATATTTACACATATCACATGCATGCACACATAAATACATCACATATATACATACCACAACACATATACATATACTCACATATGACACCTATACATCCATACACACATCATATATAAATCACACATAAATGCATCACATACCACACCCATATATGCATACATCACATATGCATGGGTACACATCACATATACCGCACACACACAAGCATACATAAACCACACATATCACACTACGACACACCATACACATACAAATCCCATTCACACATCTCATACACAATCACATATCATACACATGTACACATACATACACACCACACTGATCCATACACGCACATGCATACATATAATTAATTATGCCACAAATATATTCAGACTCCACACACAATCACACACATATACAACTCAACAACTCACACCCTACACCCTACACCCACCTGCTCACACATCACACAGACACAAACCACACACACACCATACATCCATTACACACTCACATTTTCTCATTCTCTGACACACACATACACCGACCTCTTTACACAGATCACCCTACTTTTATTTCTCTCATTACCTCATAGGGTTTACACTTTCTTCCCACCCTACAAAAGCGCCCACGAACCTGGCACCTTCTCCATCCAGTGCTCCCGCCCTGCAGAGCCAGTCCCAGCCAGGCTGGTCTCATCAGCTTTCTGCCCACTTATTATTCTCCTCCGTCCTGTTCCCAGGCTATACTCCATTTTAGAAAACCTTTTTCCTTTCTCTGCTCTCACTTTTTAAATCCTGTGCAGCTAAGACCCGCCCTCTCTCCACTTCTTTCCTCCTCAGTTCCAGCCCCTCTGGGCGCCTCCACCAGAGGGCCTGCTCTCCACACCAGGCCTGCATACTGATTCCTTCACATACTTCTGTATTCACTTGAGAGGAGGGTACATTCCCTGAGGACAGGGCAGTAGCTCTCTGTATCTCTTGGCGACCCATCCCATAGCTGTTGGCTGTCTCCTGTGCTCCACCCCTGTCTTCTCCCCAGAGCAGAAATATGGACGGGTGTGTAAGAATAGGATATCTAGATGGAGTGGTCACATTGGTTCTGAGCTGGCTCTGGTGGGTTAGTCAAGGAGGGATTGTGCAAACTCCAAGGCAAGCGGTTCGAATCCACCAGCAGCTCCTTGGGAGAAAGATCCCCCTCTGTGATTTAAACACTTCCTGTGATGTAATCACTTCCTGTGATTTACTTGTATTTGATTTTCAACCTCTGAAAATCCACTGAAGGGTCAATTCCAAGTCAGTGCTGACTCCATGGAAATAAGTTTGAGGGGTTTGTTTGTTTATTTGTTTTAATCAACTCTGTAAAAGCTCTGGCAGCATAGTGCTTAATGTGTTGGGTTAACAATGAAAAAAATCAATAATTCAAATCTAATAGCTGCTTGGAGGGAGAAAGATGAGCAGTTTTTTCCTGTCAAAATTTACAGTTATGGAAACTGGTTAGAGGATCACTATGAGTCAGACTCAATGGCGGTGAGCTTGGTTTTTTGTTTTGTTTTGAATCCGTTCTATAGTCTCAGGAGAATGACTGGATCTTTCTAGACTATTTCATCTAGATTCCCAGCTCCTCAGCTGTGGCCGATCTCTCGGCCAGTTTAAATTCCGTGGACCCTGGGAGCTCAGCTTCTTCCTAAAGTCTACCCCCTGCAACCTGAGGTTGGAGCACATGGCCCAGGCTGAGACTGCAGAGAGAATGTTTCCTTCAGGGTACAAGTGTGAGGGGCAGGTGAGGAAGGGGACTGTATTCTCCATACTCACTCTTCGCATTCTTCCACCACGTCTTCTGTGTCAGACATGATCTTGCTTGCCCTCCAGAAAGAGAAAGATGTCAGTGGGCAGAAAGAGAAGTCCATCACCCTCAGCTCAAGAGCAGCTCTGACTCACAATTGCAGAGAGGAAGCTGCGGAACTTGATCATAAATCTAGCCCTGCACATCTTAAGCTCTGTGTTATTTAGCTAGTTAGCTTCCTCTTCTATAAAAAGGAGACAGAATTCCCAAATGGCATAAACGGGTAACTCATTCTGCTGTAAACCAAAAGATTAGAGGTTCAAGTCCATCCACAGGTGCCTCAAAAGAAATGCTTGGTGATTGGCTTCTGAAAATGCAGCTTTTAAAAACCTCTTATATTACACTAAAGAGACCATAACTGCCATCCAAGCAGATATATGCACACCTATGTTTATCGAGGCTTTGTTCACAATAGCAAGGAGCTGGAAACAACCTACGTGCCCATCAACAAATGAATAGATAGAGAAGCTCTGGGATATACACACAATGGAATACTACACTGCATTGAAAAACAAGGAACTAATGAAATATTATTCAAAATGGGTGACCCTCGAGGACATTATGCTGAGTGAAATATCTCAGTCACAAAAGGAAAACACTGCATAGTGCCACTGCTGTAGAATGGGACTGACATCAGGGTTAGGGTAAGAATAAGAAAAACTGGATGAATTGTGTATACTGCATTGAAACCGATGAGGGAGAGAACAGTTTAAAAGCAATATATTATAGGGCATTATGATTATCATGAGTCTGTAATGAAGATTGCAGAGTGGAGTATATATACTCAGGGTGGGGTAGGGGCTTGGGGGGATTGTATATCAATGAAGGAATTTTACTTTTCAAAAAGAAGAGCGAACTGGGGCGGGGGGCAGTGAGAAAAGTGCAACAATGAATGAATGGAAATCCAAAATCTCTGTACATTTTATTTGTTCATTGAAATTAATTTTTTTAAAGTAAACAAAAATAAACCTCTGATAGGAGACCACAGGGACAATTAGCTTTTTTAAAAAAAGATTGGGAACATTAGCTAATATAGGTTTCATTTTTTTCCCTGAGCTGCTTTATTGTTAGGCTTTACAAGTATCATGTTCAGATCATATTAATACTAAAACCAACATTTTTAACGTATTTCAAGTTTTTCCAGCCTACAGAAGCTTTCAGGGGAACAAAGTATTACGTGACCTCGCCATTGCTCCTTACATTCTGTCCATCACTGCCCAAGGACAAGGCTCAGGAGGCAGGAAGGGTTAGGAAAGGAGAAATGGAAACAGGAAGCAGGATGGAAGATGGCTGTGTGATCATACACTGTGAATTACAATCAAGAGCATGAAACAAAATGTGTATGAGTTATAGACAGAATGGAAAACTGATCTGCTTGGAAACATTTAGCCTGTTTAAATGGAGTGGGGGGGGGTGGGTGTTGTTTCTTTTTAAAAGACATTTCCCCTGGGTAAGTGGTTAACCTTCCTATGGTACATCCCTTCAATAGAATACTACTCAGCAATGAAAAGAAACAAGCCATTGATGCCCACAATGACATGGATGACTTACAAAGCTTCAGAGAATTATGCTAATTGGAAGAAGTCAATCTCAAAAGATCATATACTGTATAATTCCAATGAGAAAAAATTCTTGAAATGGTCAAGTTATATGAGCGGAGAGAAGATTACTGGTCTTCAGGGGCTAAGGTTGAGACAGATGTGTGAAGAATGTGGGGGGAAGGTAGGTGTGGTAACAAAAGGACAACATGAGAGATCCTTGTAGCTTTGGAACTACTTGACTGTGGTAATGGATACACAGATCTACAAGTTTAAAACTGCACAAAACACACGCACACACATGTGTGAGCAAAACTAGGGGAACGGTGGAAAAATCACGGATTGCATCAATGTCAACATTCTGATTGTGATGTTGTTGTTGTTAAGTACCATCAAATAGGACTCATAGTGACCCTATGAACAGCCGACCTGAATCTCGCCCTATCCTGAGTCACTCTCATCATCTCTCAAACATCTGAGCCAATTACTGAAGTCACCATGGCAATCCATCTTTTTGGTGATCTTCCTTTCCTTTAAAAGCATGATGTCCCTTTCCAAAGAATAGTCTCGCCTAGCTACCTATTCGAAGTATGAAAGACAAAGCTTCACCATCTTTGCCTCCAAGGAGCACTCTGGCTGCACTTTTTCTAAGGCGTAACTGTTTGTTCTTTTGGTAGTTCTTTTGGTAGGATATTCAATTCTCCAGAACCAATACTCAAATACATCAATTCTTCTTCTGTCATTGTCCAGCCTATCCATTGTCCAGGTCTCTCATGAGTAGCACGTGACTGAGAAGACCATGACCTGAATCAGGCAAACCTTAGTCTTTAAGCTGACATCATTGCTCTTCAGCATTTGGATATAGTTCTTTTTAAAAAAAACCAAAAACAAACAAACAAAAACAACATTTCACTGGGCTCTATGAGGAGAAATGTGGCACCAGGACTGAAGGAAGATTCATCAACATTGTTATCTGCGTTATGTAGATGACACAACCTTGCTTGCTGAAACTGAGGAGGACCTGAAGTGCCTGTTACAGAAGGTCAAGGAAGGCAGTCTTAAATATGAATTGAAGCTCAACATCAAGAAAACAAAGATTCTCACCACTGGGCTGACTGGCAGCATCATGATAGACAGTGAAGAGATTGAGATTGTTAACAGCTTCAGTTTGCTTGGCTCTACAATCAACTCTATTTGTACCAGCAGCCAAGAAGTCAAAAAACTAATTGCATTGGGAAAGTCTGCTGTCAAGGACTTCTCCAGAGTACTGAAGAGCATGATGTCAGTCTAGAGACTAAGGTATGCCTGATCTAGGCCATAGCTTTCACAATTATTTGCTTTGCATCAGAAAGTTGGACAATGGCTAAAAATGATAGAAGAAGAATTGATGTCTTTGATCTGTGATGCTGGAGAAGAATATTGAATATATATATCATGGACCACTAGGAGAACCAACAGGTTCAGCCTAGAGAGGGTGAAACCAGGCTGCTCTTTGCAAGCAAGGATTCTGAGGCTTCATCTGATATACTTTGGGCATATTTGCAAGGCAGGACCAGTCCTTGGAGAGGGACATCATGCTTAGGAGGGTGGAGGGATAGCGCAGGAGAGGAAGACCCTCGAGATGGATTGACTCAGTGACTGGGTAATGGAGATAAGCATGTCAGAGTAAGGTTGGCTCAGGATAGAGCAGGGTTCAGAGCTGTTGTATATAGGGCGAGTCTGAGTTGCAAGCAACTCGACAGCATATAATAACACAACAACAAAACACATATACAGAAAATCATACACTCATTCCACAATGTCTGCGTGTTCAGTTCCCTGATGAAGGTTAACATTCTCCACATGGCGTCATCATTCTTACTATCTCTATCTGAATGACATTACTATCAATGAGTTAGATTTGGTACCCCCTAGTCATCTTGGCTATGCGAGTTTGGTTTCTCTTTTTCTAACTTTTTGTTGTTGTTTGGGTGGGTAACATTTTGCAAAATATTATCCCTGGGAGACTGTATAAAAGGGATTGCTCTTCTTTAAATCTTTAAACTGTATGTAACTCCACAATTATCTAAATTGCAATGTAAATTTAAATATTTCCTGGGAGAATTCATTTTGGGCTCTCTTCACTCTGAGATGTGGACAGACCATCTAGATGCGTTTGCGGGCTGAATGAGTTCAAACAAGCCTTTCTAACACCTCTGAACCTGACTTCTTGCTCTCTAATACTAAGTAAGAAACATGCTGACTACTCAGGAGTTCAATGAAGAGAAAGCGGGTGTAAGTTTGTGGGTGTTTTAAAAATATTATATTTATTATTTTATATGCCTATTTTCCCCCCCAAGTGGTGGAATTCTTTTTCTTTTTGTGTACCGTT